AGCCTCCTCACAAAACACCCATTAGAAGTGTTCTGAAAGCTCAGAAAGCGGTGCTTCCAAAGCCAATAATCAAAAAGGCTCACCTTTCAAGCCACACTGCCTTCACAGAGCAACCTGCTTTCAGGCCAGAGGGGTGGTTTTCCTAACTCCCAATGCTGTGCAGATGTCTCCGATTGGGCTCTAATTCAACATTTGTTGTCGGCAGCAATCCAAGTAAGCCAGGGCCAATTAAAAAACTGCATCTGTATGGTGACACTTCATGCAGGCAGCCACAACCTTCTGAGGTTCGCTCCCAAATGCATGGAGAATCTCCATAGTAGTAGCTCACGAAAACATGCAAGTGAAGGCAATGGCGATACCCCTCATAATACCAAAGGGCTGTTCCTGCTCCCCACCATTTTCAGTATTCTAAGCGGCCATGCATAAGTGAACCAAAGTGCTACAACAGTCCTGTCCCCCCCCCCCTTTTGTGACCCTGCTACATTCTGGGATACCACCTGGGAATTTATTTGCAAGGCTGTGGAACACCTTTTGTGGTAACTCCCAAGGAAAGATGTGAAAAACTGGTGCGAATGTGTGACATCTTGGTAAATAAAGAGGACTCCCCCCCCCACTGGGTCTGAAAGACCCCCAAAGCCTAGAATGGAAGGCTTTTGTGCTCCATTGTAAGTTTGGGGAAACAGCCATCCCTCCTTCCAGTCAGAATTGTTAAGCAGGGAATTATCTACAGCCACTGTGGTAAGAAAGGAAATCCTGCCAAATGAAGATGGTGAAGATGTGTCTGTCAACAGCACTTCCAAGAGTGTTTACATAGGAGAGGCTGGAAGCGTATAGCCCAACAATATTTTCAATTTCAGCTGCGTTTTCTTGTTTCTCCCCTGTTAATATACTGCAACAGTTTTTCAAGTGTTAAATAGCAAGGACTGACATTTCATTCTATGGTGATGTGAGTCCATCAGACCCCAAAAGGCTGAAGTAGCAGAAACAAAATTGAAATAATCATACAATGTTTACAGCCCCCAAACAAAATTATTCTCTGCACATCAGTTCCTTAAACTAGATCAAGCCAGTCACCATTAGAAAACAACCTATGTGAAACTTGTTTTCTAAAGACGGGCCGCTTGAAAACTACAAGCAAGAACACACACTTAGAATTAATGTCCAAGCTGAATATCATTTCCATAGAAGAAATCATATGAATTTCATTCAGGTATGATACACACTTGTTCCATTTCAGTGTGTATACATGTGGCAGGAAGCACCAATTTCTGGCAGGTTCCCAGGGTGACTAACAACTGTGCACACATCATGTGTAACTGCATGTACCTCCCTGAATGTCATTTCCGGCAGGGGCGTGATCTGTATCCATGCAGGGGATCAGGCTTATGCAATTCAGATCTTAATCTTACCTTTCCCCCCACATTAATTTCGTTTCTGCTTTACCAAAAGGATTATAAACTAGTAAACAAATGTAGCTAGTTAGCATGGGAAAATGCAGGGAGTCAAAGCTGAATAAAATGCAAAAGTGCTGAGGAACACCATCATCGGCTGGCTCCCAAGGTCTCAATGCATTAGGGGGCAGTGTAGGAACACAAACTTGATAGTGCTTTGTTATGGTGCATCCCTCACTAACTGCTGATGCATAGCTAAAACAGCAACAGACATTGATTTATGTTCAACTTTCCATTTCATCAGAGAGATTTCTCAAAATGCTACACACAGAGTTCAAAAATCAGCAGGAAAATACACGGCCACCAAGTGTACAGCAATAGCCGTACACAAAGAGCCTGAAAGAACACATAAGGTAACTGAGCATTGCTAGAAAACTCAAAGCACATACAGAATCTCATTTTCCAATCCTTGCCACTCTCTCCAGAGCAGGGTTAGGCAACTAGATAAGAGTCTGGAACCCTTCAGTGCACCTTACACCATAATGTAAAAGACAAGACATGCCCATCTTTAACTGCTGCAAAGCCTGCCTTATCTCTGGAGGAGGTGCGGACTGGTTGCTAAGGAAGGCCCAGTATCAGCAGCTGGCACTGTGGGGCATTTGCTAGGGCCCATGGGCTGGCAAGCAGTCCACGAATGATGGCTGACAAAACCCTGAAGTAACCACTTTTCCAGGGAGGAAGCGGAGCAGTTGGCCATCTAGCAGCCTGCCCTGTTCTTCTGGGGAAATGGGGGGGGGGGAGTCGGGCGAGCAAGTGGCCAGTACTTGGTGGCTGTTACACTTCCTTTTCCTTCACTACCAGCCCGTTCACCTGCCTTTTCTAGCTGGGGGCAAAGAGAAAGGAGAGAAGCAGCCTCCACTATCAACACTCAGGCTAACTGGGCTGGGGAGGCTCCGCCATATACTGAAACCCTCCGTTTGTGAGTTTGGAAAACTAAACTAAAGGTGATAAAAAGTTGAATTGTTTGTTATATTTCTGTCTTTTGGGCATTTTGGTTTGCAAATGTTTTGAAGCCAAAGGGTGCAGCTTCTGACTTCCTTTTATTTAAAAAATGGGTTTTCTTTGTGATCACCCCCCCCCCCGGCAAAGAAACTGCAAAGGGAAACATAGATAGTTATAGCTGTATTCTCTGTCACTGGTCTGCAGACCCGCTTGACCTCAGGCCAGACACAAGAGCAGGCATTGTCAGCTGAGCAGTTGCTCTTTTGTACTGCGCCTTAGTTACAAATACAGAAGTTCAAGCAATATCCTTCGTAACCTGGAAAGGACCACACTGGCGTGGTGTGCATGTCATGTTAAACCAAGGTTTGCTGTTTGCTTATCACTTCCTATATGTTTGTTTGGAGAGAAACAATTCACAAGCCTGGGTTCACAATGAGTCACATTTTGGGGCAACACAGCAGCAGCAGCGGAGGAGGAGGAGGAGGAGGAAGAGGAGGAGGAGCAGCAGTGGAGGAGGAGGAGGAGGAGTTAAGCACCCGTAATCTCAGCAGCACACTGCTCATTTACATTAAACTATAGTATACTTTAACTATAGGTTAATTCAGGGTTCCCAATATGGTGCCCATGGGCTTCTGTGTGTCTGCAGAGGACTTCCATGGTGCTGAAATCATGTCATCATCTCTGCGCAGATGAAAGCAGGCTCAAAAGTGTGTCTGGTTGAACACTGAATTTAGTTTTATACTTTCTAAATCTTATTGCTGATTTTTTAATTTGTACTATGTATCTCTGCCCCAGCACATTCAGACAGAAGGGCAGATTATAAATACCTTTAGTGAATTTATATATATCCCAAATCAAAATGGCCAATACTGTACCATCTAATTGATTTACTGCTTAAAGGTTCAGCACAGTGTCATCTTGTTGAACTGTTAAGTTTGGAATACTTGCCCCCAAACAAACAAACATCCTCTGAAAAACATTGACAAACGAGGATTCTTTCTATCAAGCAGACTGAAATAAAAATATATGTATGTTGTACCCAAGGCATACGAAACTTGAATTGCTGGCAGATGTTCCCATCTCACATCTTCTTTCACTTATTTCCACCAAAATAAAAAACTCGCTTAAGCCTCTTTTAGTATCTCAGAACCAAGAGATTTTCTTTTTCCAAGAACGCACATGTCCTACAAATGTATTATTCATTTTTTAAAAAAATTAATACAACAGGCTAACAAGCCCCATCCACAGAATTAGTAGTTTTAGCATCGTAATCCAGACCATATAACTTTGATAAAAGTATTCATCGCTCAATACTTTTTTCCTTGCACACAGTCAGTAACTCAAATAAGGTAAAACATACTTCCAGACTACAACCAATATTCATAACTTTTTAGAAAAGATTCTTGCTGATATGTAGCTCTGAAATACTAAAATGAACATAACTACCAATGACACTGGTAATCAATTAAACCTATGGCTTAATATTCACGTTTTAATTGACCATTGCCACTCATTAGGATGAGGTATCCCAGTGTTCATGAATTTAAGAAGGTGCTATCCTTCATGGTTACAGAGATTAAAATGAATACATACTAGTCACAATATGCCAGGTTACAAGAAATAAAACGGCAACAAACTAAACTTGCTACTTATTAGATCTTATGAATCTATTGCTTTAAAAATATTTTTAATGAGTTGCCAGAAGTTTACAAATATTGGGGATTAGCAGTTGCAAACTTAGATCATGTAAGTGCTGGAAATCCTGTCCCTATGTGTAACAACAAAACAACACAAAACCACCACCATCAATGTGTGGCTTATATTAACTGCATTCTGCAGCTCTCGATGTATCCAACATGGCCCTTGAAGGAAGCACAATTAGCCCAGCCATAACATAACACAGAGAGGAGGCATTTTGAAGAATTAAAAACCTGTTAAAAATCCTGATTGCTTGAAAACCACTGTTAAACCCCGTTCCCTTGTTTCAGCCATAAATGTCCTTCACTATAGGTGTTGCTCACAAAACTATTACTTGGAAATCACATAAGGCTAAAGGTAAACTTTGCTAAAAGAAGGGAAATTTCAAGGGGAAATGAACTCAACTCCAATAGGCAGATATTGAGATACTGGCTTTCTCTCTCATTGCCATGACAGGCTGGATGGGTTTCTGCCTGTGGCGAGAGCTTAAGCTGGTTTTGTTAAAAGATTTCAGTGATGGCAGTTGGAAAAAATCAAGTGGTTAACCAGAAGGAAAAGAAGAAGAATCCAAATCCTGAATGTTTTGAATTACACACAAGCCTGTCATGACCATGACCCAACAAATAAATAATTTTTTTTTAAAAAAGCAGATTTGGAAAATACTGAATTGTAAAAAAAAACAAAACAAAATGAATCTTGCTTTCCAGACCAGAGAAAGCTAACACATACACACTGCAAAAACAAAGGTTAAGGGAAACCAAGCAGACTATTACAGCTAATTGGGTACTTCTGGCAGTTTTGTTTAAAAAGTGTCTCTGAGACTATGATGCATCTGTAAACTACTTAAGAATCCATTCATGCTCATGCATGCAGCAAACAGCAACAAAAGTCAGGAGAGCCAATTCTTACCTGAAAGAAACCTGGAGGAATGGGTCCCCCTGGCATTCCATCATTTGGAGGAATGTTTCCAAGTACTGGACTTGGTGCTGCAGCTGCACTCTGTACAAAACAAAAACAAAAATATACGTATAGATAAACAGCACTGATTTCAGGTCAGCTGAAAAGGAAGTCAACACACATCTCACGGCTCCATCAATTAGCACATAACCAATAACCAATACCATCATCATCAAGCCTACCCAAAGGAAATCAAACACTTCGCATTGTAAGAATGTGCCATTAAGACTAATAGAATGCCAATGGCTGCCATTCAGATTAATGTGCAACTGGGAGTCTGGTTCCGTCATCAAGCAAACTTGTGCAAAAAACACTTTTAAGGCGCTGTTAATGGCAGTAACTGCAGCAGGTTTCAAAGCTAAGCCACCATACTGAAATTCCCAAAGCGTACCCACAGTCAAAGAAGGTGGCAAACTCCTATGTTTTGAGCAGAGGGTGTGCACAAGCACAATCTGATACCTCTGTTACAACATCTGGGGTCTTCTTCAGTGTAAGACATGGTTATTCATCCAATTAATAATGAGTTATCAGCCACCCCACTCGTTCTTGTTATAATTAAAAAACTTCATGAATATAAATGCCAGTTGCCAACATCATGAGAAGTGTCTAGACGTCTGCTTGAACATGTGAATGTGTATCTGTGGACTGGGGCACATATGAAAGTCCCATCCGGACTGTCCCAGTGTGGGCTGTCCTGTCCACTCAGTTCCTAGCCTCTCCTGTGCTGATGTTCTCATGTGCTGATGTTCAAGCAAATGTGAGTAAAAGCCCCTGCAGACATTTCCTGCTCTGGAAAAATATACTAACCACCACAATTCACAATCTCATTTAAATGTATCAGAAGCTGGAAATGTTCATTTCTGCTTCATAGAACATGAGATTTTGTAGTGAATATTTCAAGCAAAGCAAAAAAAAGTGTTATGTGTTGATTTTTTATTAATTATTATTTTTATTGGAGATTTAAGATATGCTTTCATTGTACAGTATAACAATGCAAACAGCAAATATTCCTATTCAGAAGCACAATTTTAAAAATAAACAAACCAGATTTAGAATAAATACAAATCAAAATACCCTAAATTGTTTTCCAGATATGTATATTGGCAGGTGATCAATATATAAAATCAAACTGTTAATAAAACATTCACAATGATAAAAATATTGGGGGGAGAGAATAAATAAGGTTTAAATCAACCAGATCTATTTGTAGATCTATTTGCACTGCCCATGTTATTTAATATTTGTATAAACCACAAAACCATACCAAACAGAAATAAATTTATCTATCTTATTCTGGCCTTTCAAAACACTTAGTTTGCAAGTCCATTTTTCCAGTAAAACTATATCCCATATTATGTGGGACCAGTACTTTATGGTGGTCTCTCCAGTGTCAAGCTATGGGTGCCATCTAATTGTTAACTTCATACCTCTTCCTTCCTCCCAAAGCAGCACAGAGCAGGCTTTTTGCTTCAAAATCACCCTACAAGGTAGGTTCGGAGGTATGCCCAAGGCCACCCAGAAAGCTTCATAGCTGAGCAGGGAATATGAATCCGAGTTTCCCACATCCAAAGCCAACATTCTAGCCACTTCACCACACTCTGGCACTCAAGTTTCCTTCTCCTCCCACAAATTCTGACCTTTACTTTAATTCCCCAGATTGTCCTCATTTGATCTTTGGCACTATTTTATGAGGTTTATATGGGATTTGGGGGGGAAAGGCTTGCCCATTAATAGACCCCATTATAATTTCTTAATCATATCTGGAATTATACTAACCGAACCAAGTAATTTTGTACAGAACAAACCTAGCAGCTTCCTAGTTAAAGCAAATGTAACGGCAAAAGTTTGGTTTTGCTTGGTCCGTCCCCCCCCCCCACTTTTACTAAACAAAGTGAAGTCTATACCAAAGATGAATCATCACCCATCGCCCGTATTGTGTATATGGTCAGCACAACTGTTAGCATTGACTCTTTCACTTTCTATTTTTGAAAGTGAAAAGGATGCCAAGTAGCAAGACGATATTTGAGGCATAAAGGAAAAAGAATGAAACGAAAGCTAGTGTAGTTGAAGGCACAGAATGTAGTTTTTACATAATCAACAGCAGCTAACTATGGAAATAAGAACCATTTCTAAGCCGCCAGTCAGCTTCGGCTTTCCATCTATGGAGTTAAAAACACCACAGATTTGTGCATCCTTAACTAGCTCATGACTCTTGTGCTTGCACAAAGCATTAAACAATGGTTTAGCAACAGTGAGCCACAGGCTTGTGCACTCCCCGTCCCCCTCAGGCAGCTGCAGCTCAGCTTCATATGCTAAACCATGTTTGTGCAAACTTGGGTGTTTGCCAGTTTTTTGCTCTAAAGGAGGATAAAGAATCCTTCCCTCAAAATGCACCATTGCTGACTTTCGGGCACAAAATTTCGGAGATTTTTACATACACACAAGAGGAATAATAATTTAGCTCAGGAGATCCAAAGCTCCAATACAGTGGTACCTCGGGTTAAGTACTTAATTCGTTCCGGAGGTCTGTACTTAACCTGAAACTGTTCTTAACCTGAAACACCACTTTAGCTAATGGGGCCTCCTCCTGCTGCCACGCTGCCGGAGCACAATTTCTGTTCTCATCCTGAAGCAAAGTTCTTAACCTGAAGCACTATTTCTGGGTTAGCGGAGTCTGTAACCTGAAGCATATGTAACCCGAGGTACCACTGTATATCACATGGTTCAGACTTCCACTGAATAGAAGAAATGGAAAGGCTGAATGCAAAAAGCATTAAAATGTATGGGATTCCATTTTTTACTATGGTCCTTACACATGTGTACCAGATCAGTAATTCTTACACACTGGTCACATTTGTCTGGGAGAAAGCCTCTCCTTACAGCATTTGTTGACCACCCTAAGTAATTGACAGAAGGTCTTTATTCCTTAGAAAGAGACATATTCTGCTTTATAGACATAATTAAGCATAGCCATTTTCTTTCTCTTCAACAACTTAGGACCAAAATTCTGGGATTCAAGGTGTATTGGTATCAGTTATTCCAGGTCCAACAGGTGCAGTATTTTTGTCAATAAAAATAACATTTGACATTCATTAAAGTGCACACATTTACCATTTATGTAAGTCCTGTCCAGGTAGTGCAAACATTTCAGTTTAATATCTAACTAATGCTGGCAGAGCTGTAACAAACCACAAATACATGGTGGTCATGTTTGGCTGTTTACATTTTTGGATAAAACGTGTTTGGTGTTGCAGACACCTTCGCCGGACAATCATAGGACCCTGAAGCGACATTATAGGATATCCTCCCAGGGCACCAAGCAGAAGAAGTATGCAATCAACTACTCATCACCTATCGACAGTTGCCAAAGTAGAAATAGCTATACACTGCAAAAGTCAAAAACTACTCAATGTTAAATTTTGGTACAGAAAGATATGGGAACATCTCATCTTGGGCAAACTGGCACACCAAGTAAGATTTTCTAAGAATGGTTTAAATCAATAGTATTGACCCCTGGTATCCACGTATAACAAATGCAGGGAGGTCACTCCTGAATTTAGCTTGACTAATATTTACCTAATAATTATGCACTATTTGAAATATTGAATCCTTGTTTTTGCTTGTCCAGGTTCATCTCTCCAATTGTGTAGTTATTAATTTTTCTTGTGTTTTTAAATTTGTTTTTAAAAATCCATTATTTAAAATCTTAAAACAAAAAAAACCCTTTCAATAGGGTAATTTGTAGCTCCTTTGCCTCATCCTGCCAGGATGGAGTAGCAGCAAGTGTCAGAAAAGTTTGTCCTTTCCATTTTCAGTTCCACACCAAAAGCTACTAGGAAAAGAAGGAATGCCTTTATTGTGGCACAATGGGATCCGAATAGGTGCCCTTGTTTTACAAATAGAACAATTCTAATCACCATACTAAGATAGGCGGAATCTACACACACATAAAAAAATGTTGTGAAAATGCTTTTTAAAAAAATGTTTTGAAAAAGACATTGAATTTGTCATAGCTCACTGTCGCCATCTAGTGCCACATTTGTATATTGCACTTAAAATGTTTTATTTGCAGCTGTGTAGCTGAGTCCATAGACACTTTCTATACTAATCCAATACAACCATCTCTGCTGTCCCCAAAAGTATTTTTCCTCCCAAAGGACAGCTCAAGTCTGCTGACAAGTTGTACACAAGACACTTTTGAACCATTAACTGTAAGCTTGATTTAAAGGAAATCTGCAAGACTTTCTATATATTTCCTGTACACCTTTTTCCTTCTTCCTTACCAGGTATAGAGGAGGTTCTTTCAGCTGGGGATGGGAGATGGAGTAGAGGAAAAAAATATGTTTTTTAAAGCTTTATTATAAATTCAAGTATTATTGGCTTTGGAATGCTAATGGATAGTGAATAATCTAGTGGAATATCACAAGCACAAAGTACAGGAATACTGATCAAGAAGGGAAAGGGTTTTAAAAATCAATGGTGATTTCAGAAACACCTGGAAGAAGTGATCTTCTGGTGGGGTAGGGATGCATGCAAAAACTCCTAGACTAAATTAATGGCCAAGAAAAATTATTATCCCAAGTGTGCATATTTGTATGTGTTTTAAGAAAAGGGAAGGGTAGGGGGAAAAGGTTGTAAACCAGTTGGGGGACAGTAAAATAATAAAGCAGGCACTCTTTTTACATCATAAAGTTGGAAAGACAGGGAAACAAGCATAATTTCTCATTCCTTTGTAGGCCATCTTAAAAGAGCAAGCAGAAATTTTATTCTAAGGCCACTAAACATAGTGTAACTTCTCTGTAAAGTGAATGAATGGTCTTAATGAAAGTATGTCCAGGATCCAGCTCCAAACTGCAGTATACTCAATTACATTTTTTTAATAAAAGCTCTCTATCACACAAAGTGCTGCTCTTCCAAAGACAGCAGGCATCGCAATAAAGCTGCCAGCCAATATTTTATTGTTTCAGGAGATTTCCAGCATACTATAATCCCTTGCTGGTGAGCCTCCCAGAGTTAAATAGATCCCCAAAACAGCTTAGAAT